GAGAGAGAGAGAGAGAGAGAGAGAGAGAGAGAGAGAGAGAGAGAGAGAGAGAGAGAAGCGAGGGGTTCTCTCTCTCTCTCACACACACACACACACACACAAAGAAACAGAGGAGCGGAGAGAGAGAGGAGGGGAGAGAGAGAGGAAAGGGAGGGAGAAGAAGACGGGAGAAGGGCAGGGGCGGGGAGAACAAAATCACAGCCATGGCCAGATAGGGAGGGAAGGGGGGAGAGAGAGAGAGAGAGAGAGGGAGAGAGAGAGATCGAAGCGAGGGGTTCTCGGATTTCTATTTGATTGAGAGCCGTGAGTGTAAATATGCACCTGGTCATCTCTAACACGCAGGTACATTCGAGAGGAAATCTAAGAAATCCAAAGCGAGGGGTTCTGGGGTAGAGTGCTGAAATAAGAGACACTGGAACACCTAAATGTACCTGTGAGCTAACACACAGCCGAATGCAGATCATGCACTTGGTGCAGGTACATTCGGATGTTCCCATCTCTGCTGACAATGTGAAAACTCGCGTTCCTATTCCAGACCTTTTCCCTTGTGCGTGACAGGTCCTTACAGCGTGGCTGCATCTTTCGCTTTTTCCCTAGGACCTCTTACGCCGCCTTGTTTTCGTCCTTCTCTTGAACGCGCGCTTGCTTATTTTAGGATCTAGTTGCATTGCTCTTCATCCGCCAAGATTTTGAGTGCAACTGGACAAATAGCATGTCCAGATGCATGTAGAATCTCGGTGGATGGCCTGGGACCTCTTACGCCGCCTTGTTTTCGTCCTCTTGAACGCGCGCTTGCTTATCTTAGGACCTCGTTGCACTACTCTTCATCCGCCAAGATTTTGAGTGCATCTGGACAAATAGCATGTCCAGATGCATGTAGAATCTCGGTGGATGGCGAGTAGTGCAACTACGCCGTTACTCTCTCTCAATCTCGCTTTCTCTCTTTCCTCCACTTCCTCCTGATCCTGTCGTATTCCCCGCTGAAGGTAGGAGGGTCTCTCTCTCTCTCTCCATGGTCCTGTCGTAGGTCGGTTCATTTCTCTCTCTCTCTCTCTCTCTCTCTCTCTCTCTCTCTCTCTCTCTCTCTCTCTCTCTCTCTCTCTCTCTCTCTCTCCCTGATCCTGTCGTCGGTCGGATCATATGTCATTCTTTCTCTCTCTCTCTCCCTGATCCTGTCGTCGGTCAGATCATATCTGTCATTCTCTCTCTCTCTCTCTGTGTGTCTATCTCTGATCATGTCTTAGGCATTGCGGGCAGGAGGAGCAAGGATGGAGGGAGAGTATATGAGGATACGAAAATCTCTATCATTCTCTCTTCTCTCTCTCTGTGTCTCTGATCGTGTTTTAGATATTGCCGGCCGGAGGAGGAGCAAGGACGGAGGGGAGTATGAGAGGAGGGTATCTTTTAATGACTTCCTGCTGAAGCAATGGATGCAAGGACGAAGGCAGATCTGTATCAGGGAACTGAGTTCAGTTGTCGTTCATTGTTGTTTTTTGTGTGCAGGGTTCTCAACTTCACCGTGCCACGTGGCGACTTCGTTCTCCCTCGGCTGCTTCTCGCTCTTCTACTCCTCACAGGGTGTATGTGTGTGTAAGAGTTTCTGATGAGAGAGAGAGAGAGAG